AATTTTTTTCTCATTCCTGTGAGATTCAAGATAGATTCAAATGTATAACTTTAATAAATGATCTCGAAAAATATTATTTACAGTCGACCCCCGTATAAGATCATTGATTATTCCGTTTTATATGAATTCCATGTTGTACGAGTCACTTAGATTTTACAAATACGTGTACCGGGCTGTGAACGGCTCACGTATTTGTAAAATTTAAGTGACTTGTACAACATGGAATTCATATAAAACGGAATAATCAATGATCTTATACGGGGGTCGACTGTATTAATAATCACAGTTTAAGAGTGATAAATTATATTGAAGGAACAGTAATGCTTTTGCATTCATAGAAAGTAGGTAATTTTGACAGTCATCATAAATACTTCATTCATCAATAGCTTCATTGAACATATTGCATGTTTGCTAAAAACACTACTTTGTGAGGCTGCCAAAAAATGTCGACCTCAATGGCTAGATTTAATTTTTTACTTATCACATAATTTTTTAAAGTGAAAATGTATAAAATTGTTATTATGAAATAGATGTTGCTGCTTTCTACCTTAGGCTGAGACTCCACTAATATAAAAACTGTTATAAGAATAGATGCCTAAAAAAAGTGATACAGATAGCCAAAGAAAATACTTTGGTTTAGGTGAGTATATAATAAAAAAGCTGAACATAGTATTTTAGTATAGTGAAGTGTAGTATCTTAATTAATTAATAATATGGTAAACTTAAATTTAATATATGAAGGTAAAGTTAGTACATTTATAATTACAGTACAAAAAAATTTATAGAATACAATTAGTGTCTTTATGACAATATATCATGTATACAACCATACCACTGATAGTACCATAGCTGTAAAAACTTTGCTAGTGGAGCTGGACCTACAACTCAATCCAAGTGCAAACACAAACAAGTCATGTAATTAAAAGTAATTTCAGCAAGTGTTTTAATGCTCATTTTTACACTAGTGGAGTCTAAACCTTACTCTAAACCAGTGATTCCCAAACTTTCGACATCTGTGTACCCCTTCTATAATTTTCATAACGCTGAGTAAGTATCCCTCATAAAAAAAATTGCATATACTTTAATAACAATCAAAATATATTTATTTTTTCCTTTTTTAGTACATAAACAAAATAATAATAAACAAAAAATTAAATTTATTCATAATAAATATAAATAAAAGTTATATTATAAATAACATTTATTAGGATCAATGAGAAGGATAAAATTGGATATGTTGAGACGACAGTTCATCATAATTTGGTTCCTAGATATAGGAACCAAATTATGATGAACTATCGTTTATATAATATTGTTCAAAAATATTGTTCCTAGATATAGAGATATGGACTTTAGGTCTCANTATTAGGATCAATGAGAAGGATAAAATTGGATATGTTGAGACGACAGTTCATCATAATTTGGTTCCTAGATATAGGAACCAAATTATGATGAACTATCGTTTATATAATATTGTTCAAAAATATTGTTCCTAGATATAGAGATATGGACTTTAGGTCTCATTTTCATCTTTCTAGAAGCACTGTTGAAGTAAGTCTCTGCAAAGAATTGTTAGTTGTAGTAACTAGCTACAGAAAAATTGCTTTATTCAGCATTTTTAGCTTTTTATTAATACTAAAGAACATAACAAACTTTTCCTATTCGAAAAATTGCACAAAAGCTAAAAATACACATGTGTGCACTGTAACAGTTCAATGTGTAGATACTGGAGGTTTTTGTGTGACACTGTTGTCTAGGCCATAGGGTGGAGGAATGCCCAGAATCACAGAATCCGGCAAGGTGAAACCACTAACAAGTATTGAAGTTTTTTATTATTTTTCTATGTTTGTAATTGAAAAAAGTAAACTGCTTGTTGCACCAGGTGCAACCAAAGCGCGGTGCAGTGCATACCCCCACTAAACTGTTCCCATACTCCTGGGGGTACGCGTACCACACTTTGGGAAATACTGCTCTAAATCAGTGATTTCCAAAGTGGACACTAGTCCCCTTGGGAGAAAAAGACTCAAGGGGATACTGAAAAGCAAAGAAAATAAAAATTTATTTTGAAACAAAAAATGTTACTATTGAACTTCCAACAGATAAACTGTGATGTCAGTTTTTGAAAAATATGACTTTATGCATAAATTGCAAAAAGTGTAAACTTTTATGCATAAACATAAAACCTTGTAAACATAATGAGAGAATACACAATTTACAATCATATGAACTGAGCAAACTAAACTATTAGAAAAATTGATCAATTCATTTAAGAAATTATTACAGAAATTTGTAGTTGCTTGTAAAATCAGTGGTAGTGTAATTAATTAATACATATATATAATCAATAATTAATTAATATATATCTATATATATAAAAATGAATGTGTGTGTCTGTCCTTCATGCATTACCACACCGTTTATCCGATTGCCGTGAAACTTTGGGAAGTTGTTTAATATACTCCGGCGAAGGTTTGTGGCATAGTACGATTGCCATAAAACTTCGAAAAGTTTTTTAATACACTCCCGCGAAGTGCATTTATCCTACGATAGATGGCGCGCGTTTACACGAGCATTCGAGCACAGTGTGTTCGATCGATTTCAAATTGTGAAGACCATTTCCCCCTTCAAAAAATATTTCTATATATGCATTTGTGAACTGTTATTTACGATATTCGTAATAATGTTTGTTTAATCACTTTATTTCAACTTTTTTTTTGCTAATTACGTATTCGCTCGAACTTTGTTAAAACTTTAACTGTATACCGAACAACAACCGAAGTTGTAGAAGGAAATTCGCCTATTTTACCGATCTAGGGATCCCCTTTTCCAAATTTTAATATCATCTAATAATTTAAAAAGACAAATTACAATAAAACGGTTTATTATCCAACTATCAAGAAATTTCACAACATGCCAAGGAAGAGAGGAAGGAGCAATTAAATAATTAAAATTATAAAGGGTTTAAAAATATATATAAAAATGGGGAATATCACGCTTCTGACAATTGCAGCAAGTGTGTGGGCTAAATTTGGAGAATCCGTGCTTCTCGCACGGACAACTGTATGTGGCCGGCTCACGAGTCGAAAAACCTTCCGATTTATTTGTGTACGCAGCAGACGGAAAAACAAAAAATATCGTGTATCCGCAAACACTCTAATAAATAAATAGAATTGAAACGACACTTTGAAATGTTTTCCCCATGAAAATGAATAATAATAATAAGTTTCAATAAAAATAATAAGATGTAAATTGAATTTTATCGTAACGAGTTTGCTTGAATTTCCTTTCTTCTGAGATCGCAGCAATGCGCGACGAGTAAGCTAGTATATTATAAAAGGAGGGATAAGATGGTAAAGAAGTTGAGCATTTTTATTTAAATAAATCAGTAATACTGGCTGAATGAACCCTATTCTTTAATTTTGACAAGTTTAACTTTTACTCTGAAGCATGCAGTTTCTTCACAAAACTTTCATTATGATGTTATTCAAAAGTTTAGATGTGAAAATGTTGCCAATAGCTTCTTTCACATGGTGTTTGAAAGAATCTGGCAACATACTATTTAAAATAATAAGAGTTTGTTGTTACCTTAATTATAAATAGTTGAATGGAACAATTTAAGGATGCTTACTAATATTGAGTATTGTGAATAATGTATATCAGGTGTGAAAAAATTAGTTCTTTTGCATCAAGCCCATTATTAATTATTTGTATATTAATTAATCAACTACTTTAAGATACTTTTAAGCAATTATTTTTTTTGGTTACAAAATAAATGCTTAAATTTAAAAACTTTTTATGGAAATCTAATTTCTAGTGTATTATTTTTGACTGATTTTATGAGGGTATTGATGAAATGTATGCACTAAAACAGGGCAGTAGTCTCAAAAAAGCTGGAAAGCACTGCTCTAAGCCTTCTATTTCATGCAATTCCAAGAGAAATAAATAAGCTGATATTTGGCAATAAGGAAAGGCAAGAATATTCAGTATTGGGGCAACAGTATTCAGCCAAAAAACCATATTTAGTCCATTCCTGATAAACTCTAATATTGTTTCATTTCACCTAAAAACATAATATTAAAAAAGAAAGAAAGGGAAAAAACAAGGGAACAGTTTTAACTGTGAAAATTTTTAGATCAATTCTATAAATTTTGAAGATAGAAAGAAACGTTTTCTAAAAAACATTGATAAAATACTCAGTTATAATAAATTTAGTTGTTTATTTTTACCCTAAAGATGACAGACATCAACTTTCAATTTATGCAAATGTTTTTATTAATATGTTAGGTTTAGCTTTTAGAAACTGCTTTTATCACTTAAATCAAGTATTGCCTAAATATGTTTTTCTGTAATCATTTTTACTATATTAATACATTAGATCAGTGTATTTTAAAACGAATATGTCACTACATATTATATTTTTTATGAAGTATTTCATATTTGAAAGTATTTGAGATTAAAATGCTATAACATTTTAATATATATTTTATTAGATAATTATATATGTAATCTATATAAGAATTCATGTGTCTAAAAAATCTTATTTCTTTCTTAAGTAATACTTCAAATTAAAAAACAAAATTTACTATTTATCTACAGTATGTTAGATATTAAAGTCCAGTGTCTTTGTCCTCTCTTTATCATCTGCTATTAAATACAATATGTAACACTAATGATAAAGTCATTAAATAAACTTATTCATAACATTATGTAACTCTATACAACCTATATATAAGCAAAACAACATTAACAATAATATTTCAGTTAATACATTAATCAATCTATGAAATTTCTAGAACATATTTTATAAAATTTTATATTGTATTCACATACTATAATGTTAACTGATGCATTAAAATTGTATAAATATATTTCAATTAAAAAAATTTAAAAAAACTAGATCATAATAATCTAATAATATAAATTATCACATATAAATTTTTAATAAGAAAAATAAATAAATTTAGACTAATTTCAAAAGATTTATCAAATGAATACAATACCTGCAAACTTCATTTGCGATTTCATTTTTTTCCGCAAGTTAACAGATGGTTTATAAAAGTAATGAACTTATGAAATACTAATTTAAATTTAGAAAAATTTCCAGACTAAATTTTGATTGCAATGGCCAGAAATTAAAATGATCGATAATGTAAAATACTTTTTTTTTGTAACGACAGTTACAGTACAATATTATCTGGACAAGCCATTATAAAATTTTGGTTCAAATACCATTTCAGATTCTTTTAGGCTACCAACTGTCCGGATTCGTTGTCCAGAGGCTGAAGAAGTCATCCGGACAGCATTTTGTCTGGAAATATAAGAAAAAATTATTTATTCTAATTATTTTCTTATAGATAAGGGAGCAACATTATTACAGACAGCTTATATGCGAGGGAAATTCACAAATTGATCCGATTCTAAAAATTACTAATAATGTAAAATTTTGATTTTCAGCGTTATTTAATAATTTCATTTTAAGTTTGTATTTTTAAACATTTTTATTAATTTAAAATTTAATTTACACATAAAAAAAAGATGAAGAAATGTTAGGAAAAATAAATATATTAAATTTACTTGTTTGATTAAATATATAAAAGATATTTTTTCTTAATCTTTTATAATTATTAATTTTATTTTTTCAAAACTATCAAAAAAACTAAGTATTGTAAACATTTAATATAAATTTATAAATAATAAATTTATCTAATGAAATACTTTCANTTATTAAATTTCTTAACATCTACTAAATGTTTTTATACCATATACAAAAATTATATCAAATTGAATTTCAAATAACCACTACTAAAATAAACATGTCAATTAAATATCAAACTCAGCTTCCTTTTAAAAACACTTAATAAAACTTAAGTTTTATTATGTGTTTTTAAACATGTCTGAGTATTTTAGAGTAACATGTTAAAGTATTTTCTTCTAAAATTAATTAAGCTGTCTTTAATTACAGGTCTGCATAAAGAAGAAAATCAAGATTTAGAAGAGAGAAATGTGTTATATTGGCTAAGCATTCAGTATATTAAATATATATTTTTTTTTTTACATAGTAAACTAATATATATATATATATATATATTATATACACACACACACCACACACACACATACAGTCAACTCACCTTAAAATGAACACAATAAAGCAAATTTCACCATTGTCACAACATTAATTTTCACATGCTATAGCAAACAAAAATTTTATCAGAATTTGTTATACCAAACTATAAATTATCTTCACAACCCCCAAGAACTAACCCTATTTCCAAAAATGATTTTATCATTAATGTCAAAAGGTTTAAAAAGTAAAGTGGTACTGTAATAAATATTCTATTTTAAGCAGAATAATTTTCTTCTAGTGAGCAAAGATGGGTTCAAACTCTAATTGTAGAGCAATTTAAACATCTTGTTTTAACAGACCAATTCCACTTACTCAGAAAATAGAGGTTAAAGTTTAAAAGAGTAGGTAGGCATCCTTAAATGGATACAGTCGCATGCAAACACATGCTAGTTTGCTTATCAGTGATACAAACAGTGATGCCAGTTTTGGCTATTTTGTGCCAAATTCGGCTTTTTTTTTTACTCTTTTGGCACTAAAACATTTTCTACTTTTTGAAACAATCTTCAAACATCTCCTGAAACCCAATTCATTACCATAAGCTGCTGTATAATATTGGGCTATATTCTGGTGATAATAATTTGAATTTTACTGATTCATTTGTCTCTAGAGGGCAGCATTATGTGCCATCTTGTATTAAATTTAATAACTATAGTAGAGCGTCGATTATCCGAAAGTCAATCATCCGAAAGAATTCCAGTCGGCAAATTTAAATTTTCACCAGTGCTGTGGCACTGCAATCTTTGTCTATGTCTCGGGCTACTCAAATATTTTACGTTTTTGATACTAAATTAGCTTCTGAAGTATATTTTTTTTTTATTGTTTTTATATTTTTCAATATATTTATTTTGTTCATACAAAATAAAAAATTAATTTTTAACGATACAATAGTCTTCGTTAGGCTTAACATCGAAGAAAATTCAACGCGAAGCGACACGCAACGGAGAAAAATGTCAAGATGGGATAAATTAATATATTTTTTCGTACATAATCGGTTATCCAAAATATCGATCTTCCGAACAACCCCAGTCCCCAATTGATTCAGATAATCGACGCTCTACTGTATAATTTAATTAAATAATTTTAGAATAAATATCTTTTAAACCCCAATTCAGGGTTTTGGAAGACTGTCTATACCAGCGATGGCCAACACATAGACCACGGTTGACCGGTCGACCGCAAAGGTCTTGAAAGTAGCCCGTGAAGCTAAAGTTGAACAATTTGCTTTCACTTAAATTAATGTTTAAAAATCTTAATTCGATAATTTATTCTTACAATAATACTGTTTGTATTTATCCCAATAAACAATGCAAATGAATGTTAACACATGCGCATATAAATGGCAATCGCATAAAATGGCACAAAATCATGTGTCAGACAGTAACGTGACATATATAAGCGAGTATATTCATACTCGCTCGCAGACTATATTTTACCGAAAAAGTAGCCCCTAAGGGATAAAATTTACACCTGGTCTATACAATAAGACCACACTTAACACTGCCTTGATATAACGCGGCCTGCTCAGAGCCTTAAAAAAAAAAAACCACTCAAAATTTACACTGATTCAAATTATCGTGGTATTTCATTAATTCATATATAATACGGTTATTCCCAAACATGAACCAATCAGCAAAAGGTAGCAATTCGTTGTAGTAATGTACTTTCCCCAAATCTATGTTTGTTTGATGCAATTTTGGAAAAAAAATATATCATCATGGATGCCATAGGTGTGAGATCCGTAGAATCGTTTATTTTTAATTATTATAAAATTTTTAAAATATTTTATTGTATAAAAATATTGAGAGAAAAATTTTACAAAGAAAGGAAACTGCTATAGCTCACTTCCTCATGAAGGGAAGTTGAACTTCTTTTCTACAGCCAACTTGCGATATGATTCAGATGCTGTCTTTGCACATGTTACTTGGCCATCAGAAGAAACCGCTATAAAAAAAGATTTTTCCCACTAATCCAGGCAGTTCATCAAAAGAAGTAATTGCCATATAACTTACGGCAGTTCATGAGAGATCCAGAAGATACCTGAATTTGCCATACAAAGTGAAACACGAAGTAAGCATCCATATGCAAATTAATATAAAAATAACTTATTGTAAAATCTGTTTATTTTTGGTCATGTATTCCCCTTTCCCTATTTACTCTGTGTTAAAATGACCTTGTTTAACGCTGTTTAATTTAGCGCTTTGTTGTCTAAGAACATATCCCCTGCATTAAGCAGGGTCTTACTGTATTTGTATATACGTTAGGCTCAAAGAATGAAAATGCTCATCCAGCAAAAAAAAAAAAAAAAAGTCCACAACAAGTTGTAGTTTCTTTAAATCACTCACAATGCAATGTTCATATTGTGGCACTTGTAAAAACAGCCACAATGCATTGTGACTAACTCAAAAAGACCACAAAGCGAAATTTGCATTGTGGCTTTAATGATATTTCACTACTACATGTTGCGGTGATTAAGAAAAGCTATAATGCATTCTGAACGTTAGCTGATGCAACCATGATATGACAGACAGATTGAAATTGATTCAAATGTTTTAGTTAGGGTGCCTGATGTTGATAGAGGACATAAAGCTCCCAGTAATGTTTTAGCTGTTGTTATGAGCATTAATCCATCAGATCTCTACCTGTTAGGAAACGAGGAAGGTCTTCTTGATTGACTTTATGCTCGTAATGAATTTACAATTACTGAGAGTAACTTTATTAACATTCAGGATGTACCCTCAACTTCATTAACACTTTGATCATAGTGGTCAAATATCATGAAAGCCACAATGCAAATTTCACTTTGTGGTCTTTTTGAGTTAGTCACAATGCATTGTGGGAGTTTTTACAAGTACCACAACACAAATTTCATATTGTGGATGATTTAAAGATACCACAATGCATTGTGGACATTTTTTTTTGCTCAATGAGCATTTTCGTTCTTCAAGCCTAATGTATATATACCATGCTAGATATGCAATGACTGGCTGAGTGCCATGTGGAAAGCTTACAGTACAAGAGGGTGCTGAATGTGTTTCCAGTTAGCACCATAGGTAACCAATGATGGTTATATCTTAAGTTAAATACACTTGGAAGAGATCAAGACCAGAGGTCCAGGTAATGAAATTGGCAATGCATCTTCATGGCAAGCAGAAGTCCTGCTCCAGCCAATTCTTTTCTTCCAGATTATTCTAAAATTATTTCATTAAATTATAATTATTAAATTTAATACAAAATGGCATCTAACACCGACCCTCTAGGGACAGATTAATCAGTAATTCAAATTATTATCACCAGAATATAAAATGACAGTTGGTGTGACTACAATCTTCAACAGAAAAAAAAAATCACAAATTTCTTTTAGCATTTTTTATTTAACCACTCTAATACACTGTTCCATACTTAAACAATAAGTACAATCTCTCCTGATTTTGTTTGATTTGAAAATCATTTAGATTGTTAATTTATTTCTGTAAATAAATTTAATTTTATTAAACTTTATTTAGTAAATTAATTCAAAATATTATAATTTAGAGATTTTGATTGCCTATTAATCTTTAAGTCCATAAATTATACAACCTTAATCTTGATGCTGAAAATCATTAATACAAATTTTTGATAAAGTGAACTAATTACTGTTTCCCAGTGAATTGTTTTAACATGTGTTGACTGTATATATATATGCAGCAAATCCCTGTTATTTGAACTTGTATTTTTGAAAATCCCATTAGTTTGAAATTGTACTTTTGTTTTGGCCAAAGATACAGAAATTTACATGTTAAGGAATTTAGTTAGTTCAAAATGTGGCTACTTCGTAATTNATAACATGCTATCTATACCTTTTTTACAGTTTGCAATTATACTGTTTCTTTAGTGATTATTTCTATTCTTTTGGAACTGGGTGTGGCTATTAATGGAATAAATCCAGCAACTTTTTTTTCACTTTATATTATTCAAGCAAAATACATCACTCAACATACACACTATTTCAACACATAATAAGAGTGACTACATTGAAGACTGAAATTTTTCAGTTTAAAATAGACCTTTTACTTCATGCTAAATATTAGAAAGTATTGTCTATAACTTTTTTATGTTACAATTTTTATTAGAATAAATATGGCATTTAAAAAATATTCGTATGCTAATTCCAGAAAAAATACTTTTTTGATTAATAAATTTTGCCGGCTTTCAAGTCTATTCGATGCAGTACGAATTTGGTGTTAGCCTTGGCCCTTGACATCGAAATTTTGAAGTGAAGGGGCGATACTACGTTGAAGGGGG